AAAAAGCCACAGAAGGTGAAGCTGATGATACATCAATGACTCATCAGCAATCAGCAATGTGCATGTCATGCTCGTAAGAATGCAACATACATTTTCCCTTTTTGTTTTAAATATTTACGAGACACATTTCATTTCAGCGGTTCAACTTGTGTACGTTTCTGGACCTCCAGACTGAGGAGGAGGATTTCCATTCTAGTTCAAATAAGAGTTGAGGCGGAGCACTGACCATCATACAGAGGAGGTGAGAAGCTGTGAATTACACATACAAACACACACACACATCCTGAAGAATGGTTAACCCCCCCCCCCATAATTAGAAACGCTGTATTACCATCGTTTTACTGACTGTTATCTATTTTATTTGGTAATAAGTAACACACCTCTCTTTTATTTTATTTGTAAGAGACCATGTAACATATTAAACTTAAATGTTACCATTTATTGTAATGTAGCATTTAGCTTGGAAGGAATTTCCATCTACAGTCCATTGGGTGGTCACTGGTCACCAGGTGGTCACACGTTTAAAGAGGCCCTATTAGGCTTTTTGGTGTGTCTCCTTTCTTGTTGTGTGTTATAGGTTTTAGCGCATGTAAATGGTCAGAAAAGTTTAAAATCCCCAAATTTCCTCCAATGTTTAAGCACTTATTTCAACTGATATTATACATATGTATTATACTCTTATAAGATGTATGTAGATAGTATAAGAAATGTGCAGAATGACAGTTTAATGGTGGAGTATACACACATATTGATAGATGTCTTGTAATACACTGTTGAGGAACCTGCGACCCAAGTTTTTCATTCATTGCATAACTACACCGTAGTTGTGTATATGATATGTCAATAAACCTTAGACAATCTTGAAATCTTGAAAGGGATGTGCAAAATAGTCATTATATACAGTCTTTAATTAACCATTAGTAGAGAATAACGAGTAATGAATATACTTTATAGGGATCCTATTAATATCTAATAATAAAAATAATAAAATTCAATAACGTGCTTTAACCACTACGTGTCCCTTTCTATCAGCTGTGCACTGTTATGGTGTAAATACAGCCTATCTACCAATTGGATCAAATATAAAAGTCAGCCGAATTAGTGTTGATACTGCAAGGAGACGTATTGTGTGAAAATAAATGTAAGATGTTGTTTAATTGCTGATACATTTATGATCCACGTCACGTTTTCAGTTTTGGCGGCAGTTCTTCCTGTTTGTCTAGAAGTCTTCTCATTTATAGAGAACTACGGCAGATATGTAATATTTAATGCAGCCGAACCGTGTATTACAATGCCGTTATGGGATGAATTTCAAAGAGAAAAGCAAGCACAGTAGTATTTTTAAAAAATGTTTTCGGATTTCACATCGCATAACCACCATATCCCAGCGACGTGCATTGCGGCTAAATCATCCAATCACCGAGCTGAGGATCTTGCCTACGTCTGTTTCCGGTGTTGTTTATGACGGATGTCATATTTTGTTATATTAACATCGATTCAATACATTAATGTAGCCTTTGTTTCTGCTAAAAGAGGTGTCGACCAGCTGGGGCAACAAAAAAATCGGCGAAATCGAGTGTGACTATTAAAAAATAAATCATTATTATATTAATATTGACGATAACAACCGAGCGTCGGGGTAGCATTTGCTTGGCATTTCCGGGTATTTCTCCACTGGTTGGGCCATGTTAACAATACCGTGTAACTGTCACGTTTGAAGGGACGAAATCGTGACATCTTCACGTCTCCCAGCATGGTAAATCGTCACATGTTCACGTCTTGCCGTGATACCGGGTTGGCCTGAAACGCCTCAATTGGACGCCTTTGTATACTTCAGTAACATAATGACATCACTATGTAACACTTGCTCTATTGGCTAGGCAAGGAGTGTTTATTTATACAGCTCCTTTCAACACAAGGCAATTCATAGTGTTTTACAAAAATGAACGACATTAAGAGCATTAAGAAATAGTGCTAGCGCTCCAACACATTGTATGTGATAGGCCAAGGGGCGGGACATCTCTAAGCGGTTGACCACTCACAACAGAGCCAGCTAACCAATCAGAGCAGACTGGGCTCTGGTTTCAGACAGAGGGTGAAAAGAGGTGCTGCAGTACAGGCAGGATGAGAAAAATAAAGACCTTTTTGAACAATAAAGCATGGAGACATGTCACAGTAGAGACACAAAGTACAAATATGAACCTGAAAATGGGCTGGAATAAAAAAAATCCTCTTTAAATAAATAAAAACGGAAAAGAACCAAATATCCTTATCTTTTTTACGACCAAATAATTCAATGCTTCAAGCTCAACATCACCTTTCTGCATTGAGGGCAGCACACATGAACTGCTCAGTGATTATTGGCTCAAATTGAAAGATTAAAAATGTTGATCTTCACACAGATGACACATTTAATGTTGGTATTTTTTGTCTTTGGGGTGGAAACTGCGTCTCGATGAGTGGGAGGTGTGAAAATCAATTTTACACCTTTTTTTTGACACATTTTTGTGATGGTGGTCTCAACCCAACCAGCCTTGCCAAGTGACCAGCCTTGTTGTGGTTTAAATGTCCTTCTGTGGGGGTGCTGTTAAATGTATAAAAGACACACACAGAGACAGACACACACAGAGATCTGCACTCACTGGCAGCCATGGACACCTCTTCGATCCTCATTGTGTGCATTCTGGTGACATGTTCAGGTGTGCTGATGTTTATTTGATTTTGTAACGTTGTCTTTATCATCATGTCCACTGCTTTTCAACATGTTTTGTATTATCTCTTCAGTATGGACAATCCACGGCAGAAGCATTGAGGTCAACATTGATGATCAGGAGCCGGGGGAAATGGAAATCTCTGTGGAGGCTGGAAAGGTAAGATGACTGCTTTACAAACCTTCTGCTAGTCAACAATTCATCTACTATTATCAGAGGACAAAATGTTAGATAATGTACAAAGGCTCAAATACCCACCTGCTGTGTCTCTGTAGATTATGTAGCTCTAAATTTCACTTTAACCCTGATTTTATATTGTAGCCTACTCAAGCCTGAATAAAGTTAGGATTATCATTAGAGTGGGGGAGGATAATCTAAACAAGTACAAATACAGAATTACCTAAAGTATAAAAACTAAAGGTACTCCTGCATAACAAAATACCCCCTGTGACTCCCATATTATTATATATCACAGCATAGGATGGTTAATACTGATGCATCACTGTGTAAGTAATATACAACCGTTGTGAAAATTAAACAGTTAATGGGGTTTGCACAATTTCCTGAAGACCTTTTTTATAATTACAATGATTTCATATTATATTGACTGCATGTTAAAGTGACCAACTCCATTTATAAACATTATAATGCTTCAATGCATCCGTGCATCTACGGGTTCTTGATAAAAGACCGCTCTTTTAAAAAAATTCCATTCACTAAATTCTGTTTTAAGCACTCATTCCTTTGCTTAGTATTACAACAATGTGTCATTTTTACCTCCAGCTTCCAGGTGTGTGCTGGGCGTGCAAGTGGGCTTTAAATAAGGTGAAGAAAGTGGTCGGACGTAACGCCACAGCAGAGGTAAAACACTAAAACACTGACAGCTTGGTGATGATTTAGTCGGTGCATGGAAGGTATGAGTATTAATGATAATCTGCATTCTTCTAGAAACTGAAGTCAAAGCTGACGGCCGTCTGCAACGAGATTGGCCTCTTAAAATCGTTGTGCCGCAAATTTGTCAAGTCACACCTCTCAGATTTAATCGAGGAGCTCACGACCACGGATGATGTGCGGACCATCTGTGTCAACACCAAAGCCTGCAAGTGAGTTTCCAGCCCGCCATTATACAATATTTATTTTTCAGATATTATAACAACTCTTTAAGGATCAATTGTATTTCTGTCAAAACTCATTCACAGTCATGTAGGTCACTATAGATACAAATGTTAGGAAGTAAAGAGGACAACACTGCTCAGTATAAATTGGCATAAATAAAACACTGAAATATGTTCAGTATTTTATTAACTTTATACTGAGCAGTGTTGTCCTCTTTACTTCCCAACATTTGTCTGAGAGCTTCAGTATAGAACTCTCTTGAGATTTGAGACACAAAATATAATACGTTTATCGAACATGATATTAAACTGCTTACATGTAACAAAGTAACACATTGTTTATAATGAGTGCTTTTGATAAATACATTTGAATGCAGGGCTTTTAGCTGTAATGGAGAGTTTTTACAATATTGTATTGTGTTTTTGCTAATTATTTAATATTTGTTCATGTTTTCTTGTCTTGCTCTCTTTAGGACAAAGGAGTTGTTGCACCAAGTTTATCAAAGTGACGATGGGGGTGTTCAAATGCAAATTAATGAATATCCCGAGGGTCGCATGCATGGATGAATAAAACAATATAAACCAGAAGTGCTTGTGGTAGTGACCCAATCACCACACAGTGCATTAAGAATATGATAAATTAGCTTTCAGCTTTATTTCTCTCACTGCATTTACTTTCTCTTGTACCTTTACTTCTTCTTTGAAATGCCTGTAATGTGATTTTCAATTTCTGTATCTGTGCACAAATGATCCAAATAAATGTTTGCATTTAAAATGTTATGAATATTCATTCTTAAACCTTGTTGAAAACGTGATAACCTTCACCTCTATGGTTTGAGAAATGTCACCAAAAAAAGCGCTTTTTTATCCTGAAAAAATGTCTTAAAAGTGAGACGGTGATAGTATGGAAACAATATCAGGAGTGTGGCTCCACCACTGACACCATCAGGTTTTTGACGAGTCAAATCAAGCATATGAAATTCTTGTTGCGGTAAAGCTTCTCAGAAACCGGTGATCATTACTACACCCAAACGCCACTTTTACAAACAGCAATAGCAACTATAAATGGATTCAGCACTTCTAGAGAAATATATTGCAAATCTATGCACACTATTTATATGCAAAACAAAAAAAAGACCAGGGGTAAATTGAAACAGCCCGTTGAGACATCTAGTTTGTGGGTCTAGCATTTATTGATAGACAGCTGTCATAAAGAAAGAAGCCCCGCCCACAGTGGAGATGTTAAACAGTGTTTTCTCACAGCACCATCAACAGGTCAAAATGTTTCCTTTCTCCTTCAGGTTACTTTGTGCGCATACGGTACAGCCAGTTTTATCTGCATTTGATTTGTATTAACTTCTTAGAGATGAAAAATGTGCTGCTGAAAGACCAAGGCAAAAAGAGTCACTTTAATTGTTTTTATATCAAAATCATTCAATCATCCAGTTGATGCGTCATGACACAAACACAGTGCTTACATAACAAATTGAAGACTTTTACAGATACACATAAATAAGGCGTACAAAAGACATGAAACATAGGACAATAACACAAAATATCCTTGTATGTCACTGTTCTTGTTCATTGCATCCCCGCTAACTGAAGGAAATCTTCATATAGCACCCTCAGTATAACTGTTTTGTGTTTATGAGTTCCCATGACTCCGTGTCAGTGATGAAGATGTGCCATTTCCTCTGAAGCACATTTCAGTTTCCCCCTTCAGGACGAGGCTGGAGTGGAGAGCAGACACCTACTGTTCCGGTCGATGAAGCGCCCCGGGGAGCGGCTGCTGTCCCAGCTCTGCTTTAGGGCCTGCCGGTCCAGCTTGTTGAGTCCCTGAGAGCAAAGACGCAGATCCTGGACCAGCTCTGACAAACCGTCCAGACCGGCAGTGTCCCAGGGGCCACACACCTCACAGCCTGCGGGGGAGCAACAAGCAGCTTATCTTTATTTTGTATTGCAAGAATCCATTATATTACATTACATGTTATGCTGCGTTCACACCGGACCCAATGCGATGTTTGGGGGGCGGCGCGATTACATGTAAAGTCAATGCTGCAGAGACGCGGACCTCATGTCACCGTTTTCATAAAATGAATTCTGTTATCCATTTAAAATTAAATAGTTGTATCAATTCGTTATTTTCCTCCTCCTGCTCAATGCTATGGAAATATATTCAGAAATTGCTAAATCTAGAACACATTTTTAAACAATAGTTGTCACAAATCATGATATTAAAGGACAATCAAAAATAAAAATAAATATTTACAGTCCTTCATGTTCAACCAACCCTTTTGTAGCTTCCAGTTCCAATATTGTGTGTTAATGTAGCACGTTACTTTAACAAATTGTTTTAATGATACTGAATATATTTCACAATTGTAATGTTTAAGCATGTTTAAAGACGCACCTTGAAGGTTTAGAAGGTTCAAAGGTCGGCAGGCCTCTCTGAGAGAGATGAGGATGTTGTTCAGTCCTGCTGAAGTAACAGATGGATTTCCTGATAAGTTCAGGTTCACCAGAGTTGGACATGAAGGCAGGCATCTGGAAGAGAATTACAAATAAAGTTACTCAAAAGTCTAGATAGACCCAACCAGAGAAATCCTTTTTATTCCTCTTCCTGGTTCTTTGTTAATTAATCCAATAAGTCAAAAATAAGGTTAGTCTGAACGTCATTTCTTATCATTGTAAACCTGTGTTGACAGACTGTTGGCAGCATGCTTCAAGGACATTATTACACAATAATGATGGTTTGTTGGTTATTATATTTCAGATGAACACACACACACACTCACACTCACACACACACACACACACACACACACACACACACACACACACACACACATCCTTGTGCAACTCAATTGTGGGGCCCGAACTGATTTTACCCAATTGTGGGGTCCACCCTTTCCAACTATACTAGACCTCCGTAAAAAATCAGGCAATATAGAAAAAAAATTAGAATCACAAAAATCACTTCAAATAAACATAATTCCAAGCTTTTGTCATTATGCTAGTTTTTTACCCACTTAGTGGGGCCCAGTTTCTAGCAGTCAGCACTTATGAGGTCCATTATACACACACACACACACATATTTCTAGTTTTCATATCTTGGAAGGGATCAGACACACACATATTTCTAGTTTTCATATCTTGGAAGGGATCAGAGTTACTAGAGACATTATTGAGTTGAATGGACTTTCCTTGTTACCAAAGAAACTGCAGAACAGCATCATGAACATTTACATTCTACTCTGATATTTTTTACACCAACAAATTCACATTGCTGGTAAAATAAGTCATTACTTAGGTGATTAGCCTCATCTTAACATAGAATATAACTAGACAGTAGACATGGCAGTAACATTGAAACACCATGGAGACCAAATCAATAATCCCCTAAAGATCCTTTTCGTTCAACATTGTTTTTTCTTAGAGGCAACAATTAGTAATTCTTGAGAAAAAAGTATAATTCATATAAACTCTCTACAACATTATTTTAATGCTATAAATATTTATTTGTATATTATTGGGGTGTTTCTATATCGTTAAAACAAAATGTACAACTTGACCAATCCCATGACCCAAAAAACAAAACAAACAGGCCTAACAAATCAGTAGACTTTTACCTCCTTTTGAGTTACATTTAACAATGACATATTCTGGTCATTTTGAGGTTCAAATTTGTATAAAGTTTCTCTCCTGTGAAATGTTTCCATGCTTCAATGAGGGATTTTAGACTTTGAAAAACATTTACATGCACACAAAGATATTTTCTACACTACAGGAGAGGGAAAACCCTAAAAGCAAAAAAGGAAATCTTTGAAAACATGGATGATTCTTTCTAGCAGCATAATCGGAATGCAATTGATTTCCCTTTAATTTATATTAGTTGACGATTCAAAAATGAAAATTTGGTTTGGTTTAGGTAAAGCCCCTAGTTTTGGTAGTGGTACTTGAAATCCTTCTTTCAACATTGAACGTATTTTTCCTTGGTTCAATTTTACTTCATTTACATTCGGAGAGAAGAAATTGAAATGTTCATGTAATACTTAACGGCTCCCCAGTCCCTATTTGTTAGGGCTTGAGGTTCGGCAGGGATACAATCCTCACATGCATCTTTCCCTGGAACCTGGTTCTTGATTGTCCATTTCATAACCCAAGTGTTGTTCCACAGCAGCACTTTCTGCTGACGTCCAGCTGCGTTTCACAAACGTTTGTTTCCCTAGGTGGACAAATAATAACATGTCATAGGTTTAAGAAGTTTAAGAGCCAGTTATTATCATACAGTTAAGAATCTTATAAAACATTTAAAAAGTACCCATATTGCAGATCTGAAAGAATGTTAATGGTGCGACACCTTCTGATCACTTTATTCCATCACAATCAGACACACCATTTTGTTTGATACTAAGAGTTTGATTATGTGATTTGAAGTGATTGGTCAATTTATCTGTAAGCTCCCATTCATTGTGCAGATACAAACTAGCGTCTGGCATAATTTATAGAATTTATCAAAGTTGCAAAATGGTATTCCAGAAGATGTCCGTGTGGCTCATTTACAGTCCTGCTCCAGTGTAGTTTGTGACATCCAAGGCAAATACTTGAAAATGTCTATGTTGCAGAGTAAATGAATACACTTAATTTATTACAGACAGAATACTTACTTAAATGTACATAATAATACATGTAAACATTGTAAAATGTAAAAGGTCTTATCTTGGTACATAGTGAAAAGGAAAGAATAAACATATTGTGGAGACAGCTCCATATTACTGAATTACCTCGGTAGTAGCACAGTCACTTGTTGATGTTTCGGGGAAAGTCAAGTCTAAGGGGAGCCTCTCCTCCTCAACTCCCTCTGGATCAGTCTGCCCGTTTGTCACCTGGAACTGAGATACAACAATAATGCACTAAGAAGATAGTAACCATGTATATAATTATTAGTTGCTGAAGTTAGCTACATGATAAACTATCTAAAACTGGATTTGGATCAAAACAAAGGCATGGCATTATTTAGTCCTGTGGTCTCAATACATTTTACAATATCAAAAAGGGGTTGCAATGGACTGCTTTCAAATTACCCTTTCAAACATGCATAGGCTCAGGAAGAGTAGAATTATACATACAATGACCTACTATTAGATGTTAAAAAAGGTACTTTAGAAATATTTTAATTCATTTTATGTTATAACCAAACGGGAGGGCCCCATAAGGACAAGACTAGAAACAAGTGTGTGTGTGACAGGTTTCTGTAACTACTCCCATCGAGGCTAAGGTAAATGATAGCCGGTTTAACCATGCTTATGCTCACAAAGTGTTAACTTACGCCTACAACAACTTGAGTTTAGATTCCAAAAGGTGTTGCACAAATGTTTTTAAATGACTTTAAGTTATAACCAAACGGGAGGGCCCCATAAGGACAAGACTAGAAACCAGTGTGTGTGACAGGTTTTGTAACTACTCCCATCGAGGCTAAGGTAAATGATAACCGTTTTAACCATGCTTATGCTCACAAAGTGTTAACTTAAGCCTACAACAACTTGAGTTTAGATTCCAAAAGTTGTTGCACAAATGTTTTTAAATGACTTTAAGTTATAACCAAACGGGAGGGCCCCATAAGGACAAGACTAGAAACCAGTGTGTGTGACAGGTTTATGTAACTACTCCCATCGAGGCTAAGGTAAATGATAACTGTTTTAACCATGCTTATGCTCACAAAGTGTTAACTTACGCCTACAACAACTAGAGTTTAGATTCTAAAAGGTGTTGCATAAATGTTTTAAAATTACTTTAAGTTATAACCAAACGGGAGGGCCCCATAAGGACAAGACTAGAAACCAGTATGTGTGACAGGTTTCTGTAACTACTCCCATCGAGGCTAAGGTAAATGATAGCCGGTTTAACCATGCTTATGCTCACAAAGTGTTAACTTACGCCTACAACAACTAGAGTTTAGATTCTAAAAGGTGTTGCACAAATGTTTTAAAATTACTTTAAGTTATAACCAGACGGGAGTGCCCCATAAGGACAAGACTAGAAACCAGTGTGTGTGACAGGTTTAAGTAACAAATCCCATTATAGCTAGTCTAAAAATATGTTCAATTTAGTTTCTTCAGTCAGATCTACACAAATCACTCAATTAGTAACAGGATTAAAGCTGTATCAGAAAAGAGTTTTTTAAAAAAGGGTCCTCTCTTGAAATTAACATATTGTGGAGACAGCTCCATATTACTGAAATACCTCGGTCGTAGCACAGTCACTTGTTGATGTTTCGGGGAAAGTCAAGTCTAAGGGGAGCCTCTCCTCCTCAACTCCCTCTGGATTAGTATGCCCGTTTGTCACCTGGAACTGAGATACAACAAGAATGCACTAAGAAGATACAAACTATCTGAAACTGGATTTGGATCAAAACAAAGGCATGGCATTATTTAGTCCTGTGGTCTCAATACATTTTTCAATATCAAAAAGGGGTTGCAATGGACTGCTTTCAAATTACCCTTTCAAACATGCATAGGCTCAGGAAGTGTAGACTTATACATACAATGACCTACTATTAGATGTTAAAAAGGTACTTTAGAAATCTTTTAATTCATTTTAAGTTATAACCAAACGGGAGGGCCTCATAAGGACAAGACTAGAAACAAGTGTGTGTGACAGGTTTCTGTAACTACTCCCAGCGAGGCTAAGGTAAATGATAACCGTTGTAACCATGCTTATGCTCACAAAGTGTTAACTTAAGCCTACAACAACTTGAGTTTAGATTCCAAAAGTTGTTGCACAAATGTTTTTAAATTACTTTAAGTTATAACCAAACGGGAGGGCCCCATAAGGACAAGACTAGAAACCAGTGTGTGTGACAGGTTTAAGTAACAAATCCCATTATAGCTAGTCTAAAAATATGTTCAATTTAGTTTCTTCAGTCAGATCTACACAAATCACTCAATTAGTAACAGGATTAAAGCTGTATCAGAAAATAGTTTTTTTTTAAAAAGGTCCTCTCTTGAAAAGGACAACATTAACATATTGTGGAAACAGCTCCATATTACTGAATTACCTCAATATCAAAAAGGGGTTGCAATGGACTGCTTTCAAATTACCCTTTCAAACATGCACAGGCTTAGGAAGTGTAGAAATATACGTAGAATGAACCTATAACACAAGAATGCACTAAGAGAAGATCTCAAAAGGTATAGCTATCCAATAATAAACAAATTAATCACGTACTATCATTATTTGGACAGAAACAATAAAATGTGTTGAATCACGTGTTATTGTTGAGTTATATGTGTAAATGTACCTGTTTGCGCAAAGGCCAGTCAGCATCCCCGTAACTGCAGGTTATTTCTTCTTCTGGGGAGTTGTCTCTGCAAATAGGCAGAGATGTGGCATCCAATCAATGACAATAGTTTTCATCTTGCAGTTTGGTGTTTGCCCAGTAACTTGTCTTGAAGAGATGCATCAAGGGGTCAAGACTTAAATAAATAGAGATTGAATGTTAGTAGTATAATTTGCATACTTGGATTGGATACAGTGTTGAAAGTAACATTTAAAAAGAAAAATTATTATTATTATTATAGACTTCAGAAAACACCGTCCAGAACCCGCCCCCCTTCACCTCAATGGAGAGAGAGTGGAGAGGGTCCCCACCTTTAAGTTCCTCGGGGTTCAAATTTCGGAGAGCCTCAGCTGCACACACCACTGCAGCAGTTAAAAAGGCCCAGCAGCGACTGCACTTCATGAGGGTGCTTCGGAGGAACAGACTGAACAAGAAGCTGCTGGTGTCCTTCTACCGGGCGACCATCGAGAGCGTGCTGTCATTCTCCATCTCTGTGTGGTATGCTGGATGTTCAGCTGCGGACAAGAAAGCCCTGCAGAGAGTGATTAGGATGGCAGAGAAAACCGTCGGCGGCTTTTGCACACTGGGACAGAGTTGCACTCTGAATCTCGTTGTATTTTTTGTATAATGACAATAAAAGGCTTTAACTTTAACTAAAACCAAGTGTACACTAAAGTGCATTTCCAGTCACTAAAACAAAGATGTGCTCTGCTCCCACATAGTTTTCCTTGCAAAAGTATCCAAAAGACTAAGGGCAGCAATAGACAATGCTGGAGACAACAGTGTGAAATCTATTTGACTACACATTATTATAAATAAACTACGGTCATGTTGCCGGTTAGAATGTTATGTTTACATATTCACTCACCTGTGTCTGAGACACATTACATTCAAATGTTTATCAACAAAGTTTGATTAAAACATCCAAAGGGTTATGTTTAAATCATCACAACTGACGTCAACAAATAAGAAATAATAACCCAATTGGCCCCAGAGATGCTTATTTAATTATATATGATTTATTCTGAATAATAACTGTTTGACTAAAACAGTTATTGGGATAACTTTGTATTATTATATGGGAACATGCTCAACTTCCATGTGGCCCATTTATATGATGCCCAGAGTCTGTAACAGGCATATGGTGTTTCTTTTGTTTTAAACACTCACATTTGACTTTTGTAAGTGGCTTATTTATTGATGAATGAATATTTAGAAAATGTTACCAAATATTACAAAATTATCTTATCTTAAATAATTGCATAGCTTTTTGCTTTTCCCTAGCTTTAAATGTTAATACTGCCAGTAAAAAGTAACTTTTTGGAGTTAAGATTCCCATGGGAAGCAATGTTGGGATTATAAATTAAGATATTGTGATTTAATTTGCACTATTTGCTTGTGTTTATTTAAAACATACAACATTGTAAGCACTTACCTTTAAACGGTGTGTTAAAAATGTGATCCTGGCATCCTGTTGAAGACCAAGCCGTCTCTTCCTCACTGAACTCTGTTTTCTTAATTGTCAGCCATCTCACCTGTTAGACAGAAGAATAGCCTTAATTATTAATTACACCCTGATCCTGTTCAGGATATTTCAATGTTAGCAGGTTCTCAGTCAGTTCAGTCATTCTGATGTTTAATGATGACCATTGTCACATAACTTATTGAAGCTAATGTTATCCCAACTTAATTGAATAAGAAAGTTAATAGCTAGCTTACGTTATCTGGCTAAGAAGGTATAATATTATGTATTATTTACACCACTTTTACAAAGAGAAGTGCCACATGAAAGCCATGTGCACTAAAAGCCTGACTTAATGGTGTGCTGTTCACTCTCTCAGTCTTCTAACCTCATCATGTAGCGCTTGACTGTTTAGCTGAGGCTGTGAATATTTTTCAGCCAAACTCAACTCTTCAGCTGTTTGCTGGCTGTTCTGTGCTTTGCTCTCTGTTGTATCCATATCATCACTGTTGCCAGTATTTTTCATTATTTGCTAAATGAGTTTTAGCAATTTCCTTAGATGATACATTGAAATATCCTCTTCTTCATCATTTATTACATTATCCACGGATTCTGTTATTAGTCTTGTTAAAGCTCGCCTTGTAATGACATTTCCACTTGAGACTTTAGCTTCATCACACACCTCTTTGAGCTGATCCAGTTGCAACCTGCTGTGCGCGTCCAGTGCTCCAGCCCTGCTCGCTCCCGTCAGGGGAAAACTCCGTCCGAGTTGGTGTCACACACAGACACGGCGAAACATTAATACCTCAGCAGTGCCTCCAATATTTGTTGCACACGTGGACACAAGAGGGATTTCCAGGCGTGCATACGTTTAAAAAACAAGACGATCTTTACTTCAGTTCTTCAATTTACGTAAAAGCAAGACTTTACATCACGTGTCTGCATGCACTCCTCTCATCCCCCGAGCTGCCCCCCCCCCCCCACCCCCACGTGCCTGTGTAAACTTCACTAATTTAGGCATTGCACATGAATACAGTGCATAAATATCCAAAATCCTATGGAGGAGAAATCACGTTGCTTACTTCCGGGTTTTAGGATGCGTCACTGCATCACTGCTCTGTCCTGTTTCTGAACTCACAGCACAGCTTAGTAAGAGTGGGGGAGGGGAGGGCAATCAGGTGCACGTGCACCATGCTCTGCAAATGCACGGGGAAACGAACCACAGGAATATTGCCGTTGTTAACTCCCTGCATCCTGATGCTATCTTTACTTGTACTCAAGAACAAGATCTGAATAATTCTACTTTTACTCAAGTACAAGATCTGAGTACTTCTACTTTTACTCCAGTACAATATCTGAGTACTTTTACTCAAGTACCAGATAGAGTACTTCTACTTTTACTACAATATCTGAGTACTTCTACATTTACTCAAGTACAAGATCTGAGTACTTCTACTTTTACTACAGATCTACTTTTACTCAAGTACAATATCTGAGTACTTCTACATTGACTCAAGTACACTATCTGAGTACTTCTACTTTTACTAAAGTACCAGACCTGGGTACTTATACTTTTACTCCAGTACAATATCTGAGTACTTTTACTCAAGTACCAGATAGAGTACTTCTACTTTTACTACAAGATCTGAGTACTTCTACATTTACTCAAGTACAATATATGAGTACTTCTACTTTTACTACAAGATCTGAGTACATCTACATTTACTCAAGTACATATCTGAGTACTTTTACTCAAGTACCAGATCTGAGTACTTCTATTTTACTCAAGTACAAGATCTGAGTACTTCTACTTTTAATCAAGTACAAGATCTGAGTACTTCTACTTTTACTTTACTACAAGATCTGAGTACTTCTACTTTTACTTTACTACAAGATCTGAGTACTTCTACTTTTACTTTACTACAAGATCTGAGTACTTATACTTTTACTCAAGTACAAGATCTGAGTACTTCTATATGTACTACAATATCTGAGTACTTCTACTTTTACTCAAGTACAAGATCTGAGTACTTATACTCAAGTCCAATATCTGAGTACTTCTATATTTACTACAAGTAAGAGTGGGGGAGGGGAGGGCAATCAGGTGCACGTGCACACCATGCTCTGCAAATGCACGGGGAAACGAACCACAGGAATATTGCCGTTGTTAACTCCCTGCATCCTGATGCTATCTTTACTTGTACTCAAGTACAAGATCTGAATAATTCTACTTTTACTCAAGTACAAGATCTGAGTACTTCTACTTTTACTCAATTACAAGACCTGAGTACTTCTACTTTTACTAAAGTACCAGACCTGGGTACTTATACTTTTACTCAAGTACAGGATCTGAATAATTCTACTTTTACTCAAGTACAAGATCTGAGTACTTCTACTTTTACTCAATTACAAGACCTGAGTACTTCTACTTTTACTAAAGTACCAGACCTGGGTACTTATACTTTTACTCAAGTACACGATCTGAGTACTTCTACTTTTACTCCAGTACAATATCTGAGTACTTTTACTCAAGTAGCAGATAGAGTACTTCTACTTTTACTACAATATCTGAGTACTTCTACATTTACTCAAGTACAATATCTGAGTACTTCTACTTTTACTCCAGTACAATATCTGAGTACTTTTACTTTTACTCAAGTACCAGATAGAGTACTTCTACTTTTACTACAAGATCTGAGTACTTCTACATTTACTCAAGTACATATCTGAGTACTTTTACTCAAGTACCAGATCTGAGTACTTCTATTTTACTCAAGTACAAGATCTGAGTACTTCTACTTTTACTAAAGTACCAGACCTGAGTACTTCTACTTTTACTTTACTACAATATCTGAGTACTTATACTTTTACTCAAGTACAATATCTGAGTACTTATACTCAAGTCCAATATCTGAGTACTTTTACTTTTACTAAAGTACAAGATGAATACACTGCATACATATCCAAAATCATATGGAGGAGAAATCACGTTGCGAGGGAACCAGCATCTTATTTCCGGGTTTCAGGACGCGTCACTGCATCACTGCTCTGTCCTGTTTCTCACAGCACGGCTTAGTAAGAGTGGGGGAGGGGAGGGCAATCAGGTGCACGTGCACACCATGCTCTGCAAATGCACAGGGAAACGAACCACAGGAATATTGCCGTTGTTAACTCCCTGCATCCTGATGCTATCTTTACTTGTACTCAAGTACAAGATCTGAATAATTCTACTTTTACTCAATTACAAGACCTGAGTACTTCTACTTTTACTAAAGTACCAGACCTGGGTACTTATACTTTTACTCAAGTACAAGATCTGAATAATTGTACTTTTACTCAAGTACAAGATCTGAGTACTTCTACTTTTACCCAATTACAATACCTGAGTACTTTTACTCAAGTACAAGATCTGAGTACTTCTACGTTTACTACAAGATCTGAGTACTTCTACTTTTACTCAAGTACAATATCTGAGTACTTCTACATTTACTCAAGTACAATATCTGAGTACTTCTACTTTTACTCCAGTACAATATCTGAGTACTTTTACTCAAGTACCAGATAGAGTACTTCTACTTTTACTACAAGATCTGAGTACTTCTACATTTACTCAAGTACAAGATCTGAGTACTTCTACTCAAGTACCAGATCTGAGTACTTCTATTTTACTCAAGTACCAGATCTGAGTACTTCTATTTTACTCAAGTACAAGATCTGAGTACTTCTACTTTTACTAAAGTACCAGACCTGAGTACTTCTACTTTTACTTTACTACAATATCTGAGTACTTATACTTTTACTCAAGTACAATATCTGAGTACTTATACTCAAGTCCAATATCTGAGTACTTTTACTTTTACTAAAGTACAAGATGAATACACTGCATACATATCCAAAATCATATGGAGGAGAAATCACGTTGCGAGGGAACCAGCATCTTATTTCCGGGTTTCAGGACGCGTCACTGCATCACTGCTCTGTCCTGTTTCTCACAGCACGGCTTAGTAAGAGTGGGGGAGGGGAGGGCAATCAGGTGCACGTGCACACCATGCTCTGCAAATGCACAGGGAAACGAACCACAGGAATATTGCCGTTGTTAACTCCCTGCATCCTGATGCTATCTTTACTTGTACTCAAGTACAAGATCTGAATAATTCTACTTTTACTCAATTACAAGACCTGAGTACTTCTACTTTTACTAAAGTACCAGACCTGGGTACTTATACTTTTACTCAAGTACAAGATCTGAATAATTGTACTTTTACTCAAGTACAAGATCTGAGTACTTCTACTTTTACTCAATTACAATACCTGAGTACTTTTACTCAAGTACAAGATCTGAGTACTTCTACGTTTACTACAAGATCTGAGTACTTCTACTTTTACTCAAGTACAATATCTGAGTACTTCTACATTTACTCAAGTACAATATCTGAGTACTTCTACTTTTACTCCAGTACAATATCTGAGTACTTTTACTCAAGTACCAGATAGAGTACTTCTACTTTTACTACAAGATCTGAGTACTTCTACATTTACTCAAGTACAAGATCTGAGTACTTCTACTCAAGTACCAGATCTGAGTACTTCTATTTTACTCAAGTACAAGATCTGAGTACTTCTACTTTTAATCAAGTACAAGATTTGAGTACTTCTACTTTTACTAAAGTACCAGACCTGAGTACTTCTACTTTTACTTTACTACAAGATCTGAGTACTTATACTTTTAATCAAGTACAAGATCTGAGTACTTATACTCAAGTCCAATATCTGAGTACTTTTACTCAAGTACAAGATCTGAGTACTTCTATATTTACTACAAGATCTGAGTACTTATACTCAAGTACAAGATCTGAGTACTTATACTTTTACTAAAGTACAAGATGAATACACTGCATACATATCCAAAATCATATGGAGGAGAAATCACGTTGCGAGGGAACCAGCATCTTATTTCCGGGTTTTAGGACGCGTCACTGCATCACTGCTCTGTCCTGTTTCTCACAGCACGGCTAAGTAAGAGTGGGGGAGGGGAGGGCAATCAGGTGCACGTGCACACCATGCTCTGCAAATGCACAGGGAAACGAACCACAGGAATATTGCCGTTGTTAACTCCCTGCATCCTGATGCTATCTTTACTTGTACTCAAGTACAAGATCTGAATAATTCTACTTTTACTCAATTACAAGACCTGAGTACTTCTACTTTTACTAAAGTACCAGACCTGGGTACTTGTACTTTTACTCAAGTACAAGATCTGAATAATTCTACTTTTACTCAAGTACAAGATCTGAGTACTTCTACTTTTACTCAATTACAAGACCTGAGTACTTCTACTTTTACTAAAGTACCAGACCTGGGTACTTATACTTTTACTCAAGTACAAGATCTGAGTACTTCTACTTTTACTCCAGTACAATATCTGAGTACTTTTACTCAAGTACCAGATAGAGTACTTCTACTTTTACTTCAAGATCTGAGTACTTCTACATTTACTCAAGTACAAGATCTGAGTACTTCTACTCAAGTACCAGATCTGAGTACTTCTATTTTACTCAAGTACAAGATCTGAGTACTTCTACTTTTAATCAAGTACAATATCTGAGTACTTCTACTTTTACTAAAGTACCAGACCTGAGTACTTCTACTTTTACTTTACTACAATATCTGAGTACTTATACTTTTACTCAAGTACAAGATCTGAGTACTTATACTCAAGTCCAATATCTGAGTACTTTTACTCAAGTACAAGATCTGAGTACTTCTATATTTACTACAAGATCTGAGTACTTATACTCAAGTACAAGATCTGAGTACTTATACTTTTACTAAAGTACAAGATGAATACACTGCATACATATCCAAAATCATATGGAGGAGAAATCACGTTGCGAGGGAACCAGCATCTTATTTCCGGGTTTTAGGATGCGTCACTGCATCATTGCTCTGTCCTGTTTCTCACAGCACGGCTTAGTAAGAGTGGGGGAGGGGAGGGCAATCAGGTGCACGTGCACACCATGCTCTGCAAATGCACAGGGAAACGAACCACAGGAATATTGCCGTTGTTAACTCCCTGCATCCTGATGCTATCTTTACTTGTACTCAAGTACAAGATCTGAATAATTCTACTTTTACTGAATTACAAGACCTGAGTACTTCTACTTTTACTAAAGTACCAGACCTGGGTACTTGTACTTTTACTCAAGTACAAGATCTGAATAATTCTACTTTTACTCAAGTACAAGATCTGAGTACTTCTACTTTTACTCAATTACAAGACCTGAGTACTTCTACTTTTACTAAAGTACCAGACCTGGGTACTTATACTTTTACTCAAGTACAAGATCTGAGTACTTCTACTTTTACTCCAGTACAATATCTGAGTACTTTTACTCAAGTACCAGATAGAGTACTTCTACTTTTACTTCAAGATCTGAGTACTTCTACATTTACTCAAGTACAAGATCTGAGTACTTCTACTCAAGTACCAGATCTGAGTACTTCTATTTTACTCAAGTACAAGATCTGAGTACTTCTACTTTTAATCAAGTACAAGATCTGAGTACTTCTACTTTTACTAAATTACCAGACCTGAGTACTTCTACTTTACTACAATATCTGAGTACTTATACTTTTACTCAAGTACAAGATCTGAGTACTTATACTCAAGTCCAATATCTGAGTACTTTTACTCAAGTACAAGATCTGAGTACTTCTATATTTACTACAAGATCTGAGTACTTATACTCAAGTACAAGATCTGAGTACTTATACTTTTACTAAAGTACAAGATGAATACACTGCATACATATCCAAAATCATATGGAGGAGAAATCACGTTGCGAGGGAACCAGCATCTTATTTCCGGGTTTTAGGATGCGTCACTGCATCACTGCTCTGTCCTGTTTCTCACAGCACGGCTTAGTAAGAGTGGGGGGAGGGGAGGGCAATCAGGTGCACGTGCACACCATGCTCTGCAAATGCACAGGGAAACGAACCACAGGAATATTGCCGTTGTTAACTCCCTGCATCCTGATGCTATCTTTACTTGTACTCAAGTACAAGATCTGAATAATTCTACTTTTACTCAATTACAAGACCTGAGTACTTCTACTTTTACTAAATTACCAGACCTGGGTACTTATACTTTTACTCAAGTACAAGATCTGAGTACTTCTACTTTTACTCCAGTACAATATCTGAGTACTTTTACTCAAGTACCCGATAGAGTACTAATACTTTTACTTCAAGATCTGAGTACTTCTACATTTACTCAAGTACAAGATCTGAGTACTTCTACTTTTACTACAAGATCTGAGTACTTCTACTTTTACTCCAGTACAATATCTGAGTACTTTTACTCAAGTACCAGATAGAGTACTTCTACTTTTACTTCAAGATCTGAGTACTTCTACTTTTAATCAAGTACAAGATCTGAGTACTTCTACTTTTACTAAAGTACCAGAACTGAGTACTTCTACTTTTACTTTACTACAAGATCTGAGTACTTATACTTTTACTCAAGTACAAGATCTGAGTACTTATACTCAAGTCCAATATCTGAGTACTTTTACTCAAGTACAAGATCTGAGTACTTCTATATTTACTACAAGATCTGAGTACTTATACTCAAGTACAAGATCTGAGTACTTATACTTTTACTAAAGTACAAGATGAATACACTGCATACATATCCAAAATCATATGGAGGAGAAATCACGTTGCGAGGGAACCAGCATCTTATTTCCGGGTTTTAGGACGCGTCACTGCATCACTGCTCTGTCCTGTTTCTCACAGCACGGCTTAGTAAGAGTGGGGGAGGGGAGGGCAATCAAGTGCACGTGCACAGCATGCTCTGCAAATGCACAGGGAAACGAACCACAGGAATATTGCCGTTGTTAACTCCCTGCATCCTGATGCTATCTTTACTTGTACTCAAGTACAAGATCTGAATAATTCTACTTTTACTCAATTACAAGACCTGAGTACTTCTACTTTTACTAAAGTACCAGACCTGGGTACTTGTACTTTTACTCAAGTACAAGATCTGAATAATTCTACTTTTACTCAAGTACAAGATCTGAGTACTTCTACTTTTACTCAATTACAAGACCTGAGTACTTCTACTTTTACTAAAGTACCAGACCTGGGTACTTATACTTTTACTCAAGTACAAGATCTGAGTACTTCTACTTTTACTCCAGTACAATATCTGAGTACTTTTACTCAAGTACCAGATAGAGTACTTCTACTTTTACTTCAAGATCTGAGTACTTCTACATTTACTCAAGTACATATCTGAGTACTTTTACTCAAGTACCAGATCTGAGTACTTCTATTTTACTCAAGTACAAGATCTGAGTACTTCTACTTTTAATCAAGTACAAGATCTGAGTACTTCTACTTTTACTAAAGTACCAGACCTGAGTACTTCTACTTTTACTTTACTACAAGATCTGAGTACTTATACTTTTACTCAAGTACAAGATCTGAGTAGGGAGAGTGGGGTAATTTGTGCCAAGGGGCAAGTAGTGCCACCCGTTATCTAGAAAACCATAGAAGAAGTTGGTCATGTGACCACATATTTTTGAAGAGGCATCCATTTCGATCATCCTGCAAAGAAGGGAGTCACATGGCTTGAGAGGTAAGCACATTTAAGTTAAAAAAACAATTGTTTGCCCTCCAAAGTAAAATTTCTATGATCAAGGTTTTTTGATTGCTGTGTTTGAACAATTTAGACAACTTTAAAAACAGTTCACACATGTTTTAGTGCTTTAGTAAGCTACGCCATGAGTCTATACAGTTAGCATGATGCTAGCTCAAAAAAGCTGGGGGATGCATTTTTTTCAAAATGGTGGGCTTGGGGTGATTTGTGCCAAAGGGCCTGGGGTAAGTTGTGCCAGTGGCACAACTTACCCCAATTTATGATTATTTACTATATATTACTTTATTGTATTTTATTGTTATTGTACATTGTATTCTTACATTTGATCACTAAAACTATGTGACATTCTTAATTTTAGACCAAAATCCATCATGCCACGCACATACAAAAGGAAGACAGACAGGGTTTCAATTCCTCTTGAGGAGTTGGAAAGAGCAGTGAAAGAGGTGCAACAGGGGAAGACCATACGTCAGGTTGGAAAGGAGATGAAGATCTGCAGGATGACCATAAAAAGACATATGGATAAGAAAAAAATAGGAGAAGTAACAAAGCCAGGCTATGAAAGAACAGCAGTCGCCAAACGAGTCTTCAATGAGAACATGGAGAAAGAGCTGGCTGACCATATTAAGACACTAGCAGCAATGTTTCATGGCATAGGTGTCATGAAATGCCGTGAACTGGCTTTTGAGTTCGCACAAAGAAATAGCATTGACATGCCTGCCAGCTGGACCAGAGACGAAAAAGCAGGTTAGATCAAGTATAGGCTATTGGATAGTTATTTGGAGCGGATAACTTCAACTTATCTGAATGTAAACTGCAATGTGCTGATAAACTTTTAACCTTTTCTAGGACCTGATTGGTTCAACGCCTTTTAAAGCACGCTACCATTTGGCATGCCGCGTTCCTGAAGCAACCTCTCTTGGAAGAGCTACTGCCTTTAATAAGCACAACGTGGGGGAGTTCTTTGATAACCTCTCTAAAGTGAAGGACAGGTAACTTAATAATCATCTGGCTTTGACATGCTGATATGATCACCTCTCTCTCTCTCTCTCTCTCCTCTCTCTCTCTCTCTCTCTCTCTCTCTCTCTCTCTCTCTCTCTCTCTCTCTCTCTCTCTCTCTCCCACCCACACCCTGACTAGGTAACCTGGCAGCCTGGCGAGAGGGCACAGCATCTCTAGAGGGTCTTCTGTCCTCTGACATTTACACACACAACCACATCCAAGTATGTTAAAACTGCTTTAAACGTCTCTGATCATCAGCACTACCTTTTATTTCATTTCAGGTACAGCTTCCCTCCACACATGATGTACAACATGGATGAAACTGGTGTGACGACAGTGCAGACACCCATTTAGAGAGAATGATGAAGGAGTCATCCCTAGAGGTGATGTGCTCAAGAAACTACCCACACCACAAAAACTTGGTGGTACAGCCAGAAGGGAGTATAAATTCACATTCCCCTGCAGCATTGACAAGTGGGATGTTCAGTAGTAGGCCGAATCTGTGAAGAGATTCAGATGCAGATGATTTGCTGCTCATTTTTAAAGTGGCCTTTGATGTTGTTAAAACTTTAAATAAACATTAAATAAATAATTTTGTATTGAATGTGTCTTGCTTTTATATAGCATTATTGTTTGTGAGATTAAAATGATCTGTTTTACTTCAATTATCAATGGCACAATTTACCCCAGTGTATTGTCTCTAATGGCACAACTTACCCCGCACCGGGGGCAAGTTGTGCCACAAAACCACTTTTTTTTCTAAAGCTATATTTCTCAAACAGTTTATTTAAGATCCGAAGTGATTGTTCCCAGGGATGCACAACATCCTAAACTATATGTACATATTTTAGTTGGAGGCATTACTGTAATCCCCTTGCTTTAAAGGCACTTTAAGTAAAAATTGGCACTACTTACCCCACTCTCCCCTACTTCTACTTTTACTCCAGTACAATATCTGAGTACTTTTACTCAAGTACCAGATAGAGTACTTCTATATTTACTACAAGATCTGAGTACTTATACTCAAGTACAAGATCTGAGTACTTATACTTTTACTAAAGTACAAGATGAATACACTGCATACATATCCAAAATCATATGGAGGATAAATCACGTTGCGAGGGAACCAGCATCTTATTTCCGGGTTTTAGGACGCGTCACTGCATCACTGCTCTGTCCTGTTTCTCACAGCACGGCTTAGTAAGAGTGGGGGAGGGGAGGGCAATCAGGTGCACGTGCACAGCATGCTCTGCAAATGCACAGGGAAACGAACCACAGGAATATTGCCGTTGTTAACTCCCTGCATCCTGATGCTATCTTTACTTGTACTCAAGTACAAGATCTGAATAATTCTACTTTTACTCAATTACAAGACCTGAGTACTTCTACTTTTACTAAAGTACCAGACCTGGGTACTTGTACTTTTACTCAAGTACAAGATCTGAATAATTCTACTTTTACTCAAGTACAAGATCTGAGTACTTCTACTTTTACTCAATTACAAGACCTGAGTACTTCTACTTTTACTAAAGTACCAGACCTGGGTACTTATACTTTTACTCAAGTACAAGATCTGAGTACTTCTACTTTTACTCCAGTACAATATCTGAGTACTTTTACTCAAGTACCAGATAGAGTACTTCTACTTTTACTTCAAGATCTGAGTACTTCTACATTTACTCAAGTACAAGATCTGAGTACTTCTACTCAAGTACCAGATCTGAGTACTTCTACTTTTACTCAAGTACCACGATCTGAGTACTTCTACTTTTAATCAAGTACAAGATCTGAGTACTTCTACTTTTACTAAATTACCAGACCTGAGTACTTCTACTTTACTACAATATCTGAGTACTTATACTTTTACTCAAGTACAAGATCTGAGTACTTATACTCAAGTCCAATATCTGAGTACTTTTACTCAAGTACAAGATCTGAGTACTTCTATATTTACTACAAGATCTGAGTACTTATACTCAAGTACAAGATCTGAGTACTTATACTTTTACTAAAGTACAAGATGAATACACTGCATACATATCCAAAATCATATGGAGGAGAAATCACGTTGCGAGGGAACCAGCATCTTATTTCCGGGTTTAGGATGCGTCACTGCATCACTGCTCTGTCCTGTTTCTCACAGCACGGCTTAGTAAGAGTGGGGGAGGGGAGGGCAATCAGGTGCACGTGCACACCATGCTCTGCAAATGCACAGGGAAACGAACCACAGGAATATTGCCGTTGTTAACTCCCTGCATCCTGATGCTATCTTTACTTGTACTCAAGTACAAGATCTGAATAATTCTACTTTTACTCAATTACAAGACCTGAGTACTTCTACTTTTACTAAATTACCAGACCTGGGTACTTATACTTTTACTCAAGTACAAGATCTGAGTACTTCTACTTTTACTCCAGTACAATATCTGAGTACTTTTACTCAAGTACCCGATAGAGTACTAATACTTTTACTTCAAGATCTGAGTACTTCTACATTTACTCAAGTACAAGATCTGAGTACTTCTACTTTTACTACAAGATCTGAGTACTTCTACTTTTACTCCAGTACAATATCTGAGTACTTTTACTCAAGTACCAGATAGAGTACTTCTACTTTTACTTCAAGATCTGAGTACTTCTACTTTTAATCAAGTACAAGATCTGAGTACTTCTACTTTTACTAAAGTACCAGAACTGAGTACTTTACTTTTACTTTACTACAAGATCTGAGTACTTATACTTTTACTCAAGTACAAGATCTGAGTACTTATACTCAAGTCCAATATCTGAGTACTTTTACTCAAGTACAAGATCTGAGTACTTCTATATTTACTACAAGATCTGAGTACTTATACTCAAGTACAAGATCTGAGTACTTATACTTTTACTAAAGTACAAGATGAATACACTGCATACATATCCAAAATCATATGGAGGAGAAATCACGTTGCGAGGGAACCAGCATCTTATTTCCGGGTTTTAGGACGCGTCACTGCATCACTGCTCTGTCCTGTTTCTCACAGCACGGCTTAGTAAGAGTGGGGGAGGGGAGGGCAATCAGGTGCACGTGCACAGCATGCTCTGCAAATGCACAGGGAAACGAACCACAGGAATATTGCCGTTGTTAACTCCCTGCATCCTGATGCTATCTTTACTTGTACTCAAGTACAAGATCTGAATAATTCTACTTTTACTCAATTACAAGACCTGAGTACTTCTACTTTTACTAAAGTACCAGACCTGGGTACTTGTACTTTTACTCAAGTACAAGATCTGAATAATTCTACTTTTACTCAAGTACAAGATCTGAGTACTTCTACTTTTACTCAATTACAAGACCTGAGTACTTCTACTTTTACTAAAAGTACCAGACCTGGGTACTTATACTTTTACTCAAGTACAAGATCTGAGTACTTCTACTTTTACTCCAGTACAATATCTGAGTACTTTTACTCAAGTACCAGATAGAGTACTTCTACTTTTTACTTCAAGATCTGAGTACTTCTACATTTACTCAAGTACATATCTGAGTACTTTTACTCAAGTACCAGATCTGAGTACTTCTATTTTACTCAAGTACAAGATCTGAGTACTTCTACTTTTAATCAAGTACAGATCTGAGTACTTCTACTTTACTAAAGTACCAGACCTGAGTACTTCTACTTTTACTTTACTACAAGATCTGAGTACTTATACTTTTACTCAAGTACAAGATCTGAGTACTTCTACTTTTACTCCAGTACAATATCTGAGTACTTTTACTCAAGTACCAGATAGAGTACTTCTATATTTACTACAAGATCTGAGTACTTATACTCAAGTACAAGATCTGAGTACTTATACTTTTACTAAAGTACAAGATGAATACACTGCATACATATCCAAAATCATATGGAGGAGAAATCACGTTGCGAGGGAACCAGCATCTTATTTCCGGGTTTTAGGACGCGTCACTGCATCACTGCTCTGTCCTGTTTCTCACAGCACGGCTTAGTAAGAGTGGGGGAGGGGAGGGCAATCAGGTGCACGTGCACAGCATGCTCTGCAAATGCACAGGGAAACGAACCACAGGAATATTGCCGTTGTTAACTCCCTGCATCCTGATGCTATCTTTACTTGTACTCAAGTACAAGATCTGAATAATTCTACTTTTACTCAATTACAAGACCTGAGTACTTCTACTTTTACTAAAGTACCAGACCTGGGTACTTGTACTTTTACTCAAGTACAAGATCTGAATAATTCTACTTTTACTCAATTACAAGACCTGAGTACTTTTACTTAAGTACCAGATAGAGTACTTCTACTTTTACTAAAATATCTGAGTACTTCTACATTTACTCAAGTACAAGATCTGAATATTTCTACATTTACTCAAGTACAAGATCTGAGTACTTCTACTTTTACTCAATTACAAGACCTGAGTACTTCTACTTTTACTAAAGTACCAGACCTGGGTACTTATACTTTTACTCAAGTACAAGATCTGAGTACTTCTACTTTTACTCCAGTACAATATCTGAGTACTTTTACTCAAGTACCAGATAGAGTACTTCTACTTTACTACAAGATCTGAGTACTTCTACATTTACTCAAGTACCAGATAGAGTACTTCTACTTTTACTACAAGATCTGAGTACTTTCTACTTTTACCTCAAGTACAATATCTGAGTACTTTTACCAAGTACAAGATCTGTGTACTTCTACATTTACTCAAGTACAATATCTGAGTACTTCTACATTTACTCAAGTACAATATCTGTTTACTTCTACATTTACTCAAGTACAATATCTGAGTACTTCTACTTTTACTACAGGATCTCAGTACTTCTACTTTTACTCAAGTACAAGATCTGAGTACTTTTACTCAAGTACAAGATATGTGTACTTCTACATTTACTCAAGTACAAGATCTGAGTACTTCTACTTCTACTCATGTACAAGATCTCAGTACTTCTACTTTTACTCAAGTACAATATCTGAGTAATTCTACTTTTACTCAAGTACAAGTTCTGAGTACTTCTATATTTACTACAAGATCTGAATACTTCTATTTTACTCAAGTACAAGATCTGAGTACTTTTACTCAAGTACAAGATATCTGTACTTCTACATTTACTCAATTACAAGATCTGAGTACTTCTACATTTACTACAAGATCTCAGTACTTCTACTTTTACTCAAGAACAAGTTCTGAGTACTTCTATATTTACTACAAGATCTGAATACTTCTACTTTTACTCAAGTACAAGATCTGAGTACTTTTACTCAAGTACAAGATCTGAGTACTTCTATATTTAATACAAGATCTCAGTACTTCTACTTTTACTCAAGTACAATATCTGAGTATTTATACTCAAGTACAATATCTGAGTAGGCTACTTATACTTTTACTAAAGTACAAGATCTGTGTACTTCTACTTGTACTCATGTACAATATCTGAGTACTTCTACATTTACTACAAGATCTCAGTACTTCTACTTTACTCAAGTACAATATCTGAGTACTTATACTCAGTACAAGATATGAGTACTTCTACATTTACTCAAGCACAAGATCTGAGTACTTCGACATTTACCATAGCCCTTAGCTGCTATGCTTAA